GAAAGAGAATATATAACCGGATACCGGAAATAAAATACTGTTGTTGGTGTAGCATATAAACTTTATGAACGTGCACACAATTTTAATGTTTCCGATTTTCATTTTCAGACTATATAAATTTCGTTACTTGACTGCTTACAAAGCTGTTTTTTTGTTTCTAGCCAGAAAAATAGCAGCAAAAAAATTGAGAAAAAAAAAACGGAAACAAAATATGAGAGTTGAGAAACAAAGAAAAATCTTGTACAAAAAAATATAATTCCATTTGTGGAGCAATAAACGAAATGAAAAAAAAGAAATATCCTCCTTCAATTGTATTAAAACCCCAAATCATTGTAGTTTGTAGTGAAAGTCTACTACTTATACATACAAATGAATTTTATAACCAACTAACACATGGCCTGTTATATGCCGTTATGTAGGTATTACAAATACATAAATACATGTTTTCATGGTTTGTATGACGGTTATGTTAAACCATAAAAATAATTTACATATCTGCCTAGAGGGCAATTTGTCAAGTGACTATATTGTTATAGTATTCAACAAGAATAGAAAACGAGTAGTGACTGTGATTGGAATAGCGTGCTGGTGAAAGATTAAGTGCAAAATAATTTTTCAACTTTTTAACGGAATTATAAAGAAAGTGTTAAAAACTGTTATTTAAGTATTATAATTTTAGTATTTTTAGAGTTAGCGAAAATTTTGTATATATCATAATTTAATTCATACTTATTAATACACAATTTTTGTTTTGTTTTTTGTTATTCCTCCAATTACATAGAGCACTATTCAAATAGATAGCGTTTTTTCCGATTCGTTGTTAAATAATTCCTAGTTGCTTTAAAAGGTTAATGTTTGCAGCCTTAAATATCGGATATTGTGCTAAAAGTTCCAAAAAGTTTTATTAAATATGGCCGACACTGAGAATTTCCAAATATTACAAAAATTTACCTTACCTGAATCCCCATTTGGCATCTATTATTGTTGTCCTATCACCCAAAGAACAATACTAGAGGGAGCTGGCCTGTCGAACAATTTTTTACTTCATACAAGATTGGACAACTCTAATGTACATATAATATGAAAGAGTTTATTTAGTATTTTTGGCCTTCATATAAAAACCGTGAAACAACTTTAACCCTTTTCAAACACTTATCACTTAACCCTCGTGCCACCACTCCTTTTCTCCTCTACCAAAAGACAACAACATATAAATAACCAAAGTGAACAACTTCACAACACTATCACTATTACACTCATAACATAGTAATGTGGGAGCGTAAAAACAACAACAGCAATAAGAAAAAACTATATATTACTTTAAAAGGGCAATAACAGTAACAACAGCCACTACACGGATACTACAATAAATACACATATAAACAAACATTCATAAATAGTCATTTTACTCATTGGCTTTTTGTTGTTTTTGTTATTCTAGACCAAACATTCATACTTCTGAGAATTCATAACAATACTTTTACTAGTAGGTCTACAAGTATTACATGACTACAACAACGGCAGCAGCAACTACCACAACGACTGTTACCAAAGTTCCAACATCAACATCATCATCACTATCACCACTTCCACGTTGGCACCATTATCACTGGTAAACATTTTTTTTGGTCTTTTTTTTCGTATAGATGATAGTAGATGTGTGTATATGGGTATTAATATCGCTATATGTTTATGTATTTGTTGAAAAACAAATTTCGTTTTCTTTTATGCTGAGTGTAGAGCACTCTTATATGTGTATGACCCATAAAGGGCTATTTACACCATTTCCAAATGTTAAATAAATTTATTAAAACAAATCTTTATTACTAATTAAATCGAAATTCTCTTTAAATATCAAGTTTAGATAACTTTCCCGAAATATTGTACTAGTTTTTTGAAAATGCCAGCAATAGGGTTACTTTTCTTTGGGATATCTTTAATATTTAGCAACAATTGAATTGACATTAATAAATAATTACTATTTGTTATTAGTTTTTATCAGGAAATAGTGTTCCATCACCATTATCTGCTGTTGGCAATCTTTGCTTTACTGGTCTATTTTTACTCTCACTATGTCTGTTAAGAAAGAAATAAAATATTTACAACTTAAATTGCACAAAAAAAAACTCGTACTACAAAAATAGTTCATTCTATTATAGTGTACAATGTTCTGGTTTTAATACTTCAACTATACATATGTATAGTACCAGCAAAGGAAAATGTTTTGAGTTTTTAAGCCTGGCAGCTAGAGTTCATCGGTTTTTTTTTTAAAAAAAGCAAAATGCTTTTTATTTATTTATGATTAATACCAAGATACAGGCAGACAAATAGAAACATACAAGTTAAACAGAGCAAAATAGAACACTAGATTGCATGTATACATTTTTTATTACTGATCCATTTAACCGAGGTTATACTGTTTTAAAAACGAAGTATACAGATTACAGCCGTGTATCGCTTGGATACATTTTGTTATTGGTTTTATGTCGGTCAGAGTCCCTTGTTTTTAATTTATTAACACCCCAAATAATAAAATAAAAACAAAGAAAGAAATGTTGAAAATATCATGCAATTTATTTTTATTTCTCAATAATGCCAATATAAATATTACATTGAAATAAAAATGGAAGAAAAATTGTAGTTGTAAAAGAAAACCAACCACATTTATTTCATTTACAGGGAGTTAATAACTGCTTTAAGTGTCGTGCCAAAAAACAGAAATTTTTGTAGTTAAATATTATTTTATTCCAAAGGAAATCTTTACTCCTTACATACATATGGATGAGAATGAAATTTGAGAGAATAATTTGAAATTTAATTTAAAAAAATTACACCCTGTAACAATTTTGAAAAAAGCTTTCACACATGGAAAAGTTGATATGCATGTGAAACCATTTATAGTCATTCTGTAATATAGTCATTTTTATAATCAGCTCTTATGACCTTATAAAAGGACTTCAAAGTTTTTATATGTATTGTATGAAGCTAATATTGTTATCAAATGAAAGCTGGGAATCTGTACATTCTATCTATATTATTTATTTGACTCACTTAGAGAAAAAAACGAAAAAGAAATTAAATTTAAAAAGGCCTCATTTTCGAAACAAATTTTTTTAACTACTTTTTTGTGATAAATTTTCTTTAAGCTTCCGTTTCTTTTTTAATCATGATGAATTGAAATAAGTCATATTATTTTGAAGCAGAGGTTTCCAGCTTCATTTGGTATTAATATTAAAACCAAATTTTTATATAAATTTGGAATTCCATCATTGTACGTCCTTTAAACTTATGAAAAACTGAGTACACAGAGTTAATACTAATGGTCCACAGTTTTCTGTACACATAGATTTTATGTGTGAAAATGACTGTTGCACGGTGTTATATAAAAAAGACTTATTTTAACCCCTTACTTTTCACTTTATGTTTTTGCTGGGTTACTTAAGGTAATTGACACTGAGTCAAGAAGACGTGAAAGCAAAAAAATTAACTCTCATTCTTAAAGTAGTTATAAATTAATTTAAAATTTTCAAAACCGTAATTTCCAATATTTATCTCTTAGCGTATACTTTACAAAAATTAAGTCAAATTAATTATTCCACATACGGCACATAAACTTGTGAACAGTGAAGAAATTTTAACAAAAAGATAAAATATATCTATAAAATCCCAATGGTTTTTCCTTTCTTAATTAAACATGTACAGAGAGGAAAGAACTTCAGATGATTCCATCCGTTCTCTTCTACACAATATTTTGACAGATCATATTACTTGTGGTATAATGTAAAAGGAGCTTTAATGGTTTGTGACGTGAGGTGACAAAAGTATACTTTTTGGTGGAAATGCCCATATGTAAAACAGTGGAGCAAAATCGAAATAACTATTTTTACATAACAAATTATACATAGGCGTTGTCTTTTTCAAACATTCACAAAACAAAACACACATGGCCGCAAAGTGGCCTTAGGGGCATTACTATCGGGCCTTTAAGTGCAAGACATATTTACCTTAGACTGTCATTGTTATAAATAAGCCAGTAACCTCCCATTAAAATAAATCTAAAAAATGTGGAATTTTAGATAGCTTAACGATAGAAGGCTCAGGACTTCGTCTTGGGATCTCAATTAAGTCGCTAAGAACCACCTTTATTTAATTTGCGGTAAACGAAATATTGTGGGTCAAAGCTCAAATTTTAATACATATTCCAACAATAACAACTTTGTAATAATTCTTGCGATATCCATAAGCTGTTAATTTATGCTTATACATTGTTACATGTTTTATTCCAGAATCACTCTACAGCCTATAGTACAATGTTAGTCACGGATCTTAAATTTGGATTAATATTCCCACCAAATTGGCCTTATTTTGATTCCAATTTAGTGAAACTACGATATTTACGACGACTTGTAATATCTTATTAATAATGGTAAGGAGATGCTATAGCAAATTTTCATTCAAAATCCTTTATTTTCCTGGACTATAAATTTATCACCTTTTTTAGAAGAATGTCAAATAGAATCGCAATAATATAACACTTTAATAAACTTTAACAACATCATTTAAGTACTTACAAATGTTTGTTTTAATTTTCAAAAATGGGGCCAGATTCTGGTATTCTAAAACGATCGAAATTTCTATTAAAGAATTTCTAAGAATTGGCTCCTGATTGTACTAAAGTAGCTAAATTAGATTGACTATTGAATATTTTAACTATGCATTGTATTTATTGATTGCTATAAAGAACTTATGTTGCCAAGTTAAAATTTAAAATGAGCAAAACAATGACGGTCTGATATTTCCTTCAAACGTTTTACAACCACTTTATCTTAAATAAATTCACTACATTCTCTTAATTTTACTTCAATTATTTTTTAAAATTTGTTCATACTATATATACACTTAACACAGATGAAATCTAAAATTTTGTTCACCATTTCAAATCATATAAATAATTTATTGCTTAAGTGCAAACACAGTTTTTAAAGAAAACCACAACTTACCGCACGTGCATCACATTGCATGATGATGAAAAATAATCCCACTAACAAAAAATGCCAGTTGATGCATGAGGAATTTTGGCGTAACATGATGCCAAGCAGATGTAAGAAATGTTCTCCTTTTTAAATAATGAGTTGGATTTTATTTTCACGTTTTTGTTTTGTTTATATTTTTGTTTATGGTTTCTTATGTTTTTTATATGGCAAATAATTTATTTTCTTAGAATTCTCACACAAACACACTTGCAAAAAAACTGGGAAATAGAGAAAAAATTAAGTTATAAAATTTAAAGAAATAAAAACCGTAATAAAGAAATGAAGAAATTATTGCAGAAAATATACAAAATACAAAGAGTTTAATAAATTTGCACTTTAAACTTCTTCAAGTTGTTTACAAAAAAAACACGATTGTATTCTTAAAATTTATATAAAAATTTGCAAGAGTCCTTTTTAAATAAATTTTCTTTATCTTTAAATTAATATAGCATTTTATTTATATTTATTTATATTGTCCTTTATAAAAATATTCCTAATATAAAAGTTTTTATTGAAATTATTTGTAATTTTTTGTTTCTATTTTTGCTTAGCAAGCACACCTTACGCTTTGAATATCCGTTAGAGAATGCTGCCACAATTTGTTCAACATGTCCTTAAAAAGGCCAATAATAAAAGAGAATAAGCAAAACATTGAGAGAGAATATTTGGCTTTGTTATTGTGTGTATTAGGAATTCGCTGCAGCGAATTCGTTTCAGCTGGAGTTTAATGAAACTCTTTAGTGTTGCCAATGATATGAAAATAAAAAACGTTATACTCAAATACTTCGAATAATTAATGCTTTAGTTAATTCATTTATCAATACTAGTGAATAAATATTCGGAACTAGAACTGAACTAGAACTGAACTAGAACTGAACTAGAACTGAACTAGAACTGAACTAGAACTGAACTAGAACTGAACTAGACCTGAACTAGAACTGAACTAGAACTGAACTAAGAACTGAACTAGAACTGAACTAGAACTGAACTAGAACTGAACTAGACTGCTAGACTGAACTAGAACTGAACTAGAAACTGAACTAGACCTGAACTAGAACTGAACTAGAACGAACTAGAACTGAACTAGAACTGAACTTAGAACTGAACTAGAACTGAACTAGAACTGAACTAGAACTGAACTAGAGCGAACTAGAACTGAACTAGAACTGAACTAGAAACTGAACTAGAACTGAACTAGAACTGAACTAGAACTGAACTAGAACTGAACTAGAACTGAACTAGAACTGAACTAGAACTGAACTAGAACTGAACTAGAACTGAACTAGAACTGAACTAGAACTGAACTAGAACTGAACTAGAACTGAACTAGAACTGAACTAGAACTGAACTAGACTGAACAGAATGAACTAGAACTGAACTAGACTGCACTAGAACTGAACTAGAACTGAACTAGAACTGAACTAGAACTGAACTAGAACTGAACTAGAACTGAACTAGAACTGAACTAGAACTGAACTAGAACTGAACTAGAACTGAACTAGAACTGAACTAGAACTGAACTAGAACTGACTAGAACTGAACTAGAACTGAACTAGAACTGAACTAGAACTGAACTAGAACTGAACTAGAACTGAACTAGAACTGAACTAGAACTGAACTAGAACTGAACTAGAACTGAACTAGAACTGAACTAGAACTGAACTAGAACTGAACTAGAACTGAACTAGAACTGAACTAGAACTGAACTAGAACTGAACTAGAACTGAACTAGAACTGAACTAGAACTGAACTAGAACTGAACTAGAACTGAACTAGAACTGAACTAGAACTGAACTAGAACTGAACTAGAACTGAACTAGGACTGAACTAGAACTGAACTAGAACTGAACTAGAACTGAACTAGAACTGAACTAGAACTGAACTAGAACTGAACTAGAACTGAACTAGAACTGAACTAGAACTGAACTAGAACTGAACTAGAACTGAACTAGAACTGAACTAGAACTGAACTAGAACTGAACTAGAACTGAACTAGAACTGAACTAGAACTGAACTAGAACTGAACTAGAACTGAACTAGAACTGAACTAGAACTGAACTAGAACTGAACTAGAACTGAACTAGAACTGAACTAGAACTGAACTAGAACTGAACTAGAACTGAACTAGAACTGAACTAGAACTGAACTAGAACTGAACTAGAACTAGAACTGAACTAGAACTGAACTAGAACTGAACTAGAACTGAACTAGAACTGAACTAGAACTGAACTAGAACTGAACTAGAACTGAACTAGAACTGAATTAGAACTGAACTAGAACTGAACTAGAACTGAACTAGAACTGAACTAGAACTAAACTAGAACTGAACTAGAACTGAACTAGAACTGAACTAGAACTGAACTAGAACTGAACTAGAACTGAACTAGAACTGAACTAGAACTGAACTAGAACTGAACTAGAACTGAACTAGAACTGAACTAGAACTGAACTAGAACTGAACTAGAACTGAACTAGAACTGAGGAAATCAATTTACCACCCATCTTTTCTGGAGTATAAAAGTCGCATTTTTTATCATTACTGCTAAAACTCTTATTTGTAAAGTGTTTCCCAAAAAACTCTCTTTCACAACATAACACACTAGCACTCTCTTTCGGGCTCTCCCATAAATCTCTTTTTGTCTACAGTGTTTAATTTTTTTATGGTCTTGCTGTTGTTATTTAAACTCTACTCTCGCTCAAGGACACTTTGAGCTGTCAACGTGTAAAAATTGTATTGTTACTATATTTTCATTTATAGTTTTTTTCTTCTTTGTTTTCTATATTTTTATTTTCATTATTTTATTGTTGTTATGTTGTTATCATAGTTTTTTGCATGCTTTGTTTATTTTTTTATTCTTTCTTCTATTTTGTTGCTGTTGTTATACTTTTTCTATTGCCAAAATATTTGTATATTTTTTGTTGTTAATTTTTTCCACTTTGTTTTGTTGTGTTTTGTATTTTTATGCTGACAATCATGCTCAGCTGTTAAGCTGGTAGTAGTGTTGGTATAGGCCAAAACAAAAAAAAAGCAAGAAAAATTCTTAAAATTTTTTTTATTTTGTAAAAAAATGTATAAAAACATGCTCTTGTTTAACATAAAAAAAAAATAAAAGATAACAGTTAAGTATGGCAGTGAGTGAGTGTTTGTGTATGAGTTTAAGTACGATAGTATTAGTTGGTATTTATCGTTGTTTTTGTTTTAGTTACTCCCCAGCAGTTTGACAAGAAATCAATGTATCAATTTTATACTGGCTTAATTTTTTTCAGCTAATGCTTCATTACTTGGTCTAATTAATGACAGTGAGAATGTAAAGAGAAGTCACTATAAACGTTTTTTAGCAAATTTTTTAAATTCACCAGAAGTAAGTTATTGTATAGCCATTTATAATGAGAATGAAATTTGACTGGGGATCACCCGGAACTGCAGAAATGTTTGTAAATTTATTTTTTTTATTTTCGTTTATACGAGTAACATTCATCTAGAAAATAGATAAGTAACACAGTGTCCCTATTTTATTGTTATTGTTATTTTAGTTTTTTTTTTTTTCGTGGTGGAACATTTTTTAACATTTTTCCACAAAATGTTGTATTTCTTTTTCTAGTTTTAGTTTTGGCACTTACTTTTTTATGCGTGTGCTGTCATTGATGGTATTAGGGGCCTTAATAGTATATTTCATATTACTAAGCATTACTGTGGTTCTGAAAATGTTGTTATTATTCTCCCAAAGAAAAGCCACAAAGAACTAGTCCTGTGCATGATTCCTAAGGAGTTAAGATCATTGATATTTATATATATTGAATTAAAAAAATATATTGAATTAAATTTCAAGTGACAATATTAATCAATTTTCCGAAACGTCTTTAAATAAACCTAAACTTATTGATTAAATTGTATGATAAATTTTTTTGTAACTAAATAGCTAGTTCATTTATAAAAGGTTTACAGTAAACTTTTCTCCGATTGGAATGTTTAGCAGACCTGTAGAATTGAAAATAAACCAAATGTCCTTTTTACCTGATCACATCACTGTTATATGTATTCAAATTCGGGGTATTATGCGTTTGTGCTGATGTTTGTAACACCCAAAAATATTGGTCCCACCTTAAGGTATACCAATCGGCATAGAATTACTTATTGAGTCGATTTAGATATGTTCGTCTGACTGCCTGTCTGTCCGTCTGTGTGTACATGTAAAAATAATCCACATTTTTAACATATGCACTGATGTAGGGTGTCATATGGTTGGCCATGCCCGACTGTACATTCTTACTTATATTTTTTTAATTACGTGTGGTATGTGTATTCACTTTTTTGTTTTAGTTATTTTTATAAATTGTTTGTTGTAATTATTTTGCACTTAAACGATGTTTTTATATATTTTATGAAAAAATATAATTTTTTGAAATGGAAAATTTTTCAAATTAGTATAATGGCAGTAGCATATTTACTTTTCACTTACATTTAAATATCCTTAAAATAAAAGATAGAAAAGTGTTACGGATTTAATTTTAGAATTTGAAATGTTATTTACTTTTACTTAAACAAAAAAACTCAGAAAAACAACAAATGGTGTTAAAACTGGCTAAGGAATACAGTTGAGCAATTATTAGGTTAATGTCTCAAGACTTGAACCAATGGATTCTCTTTCGATCCTAAAACGTATTTTTTTGTAAAATATTTAAGTTTAATATCAAAGAGAATCCAACTGTGGTTCGATAAAGACTTTTTCTTTAATATTCTTCACCTGATAACAGTTGAAGATTACAATATTTATTTTTTTGTTTTACGCGATTTCCAGGTCCACTGCAAATAGAATTACTTGATGGTTATTTGTAAAACGTTTTCAGATTAACTTAAACCCCACTTTCTAAATTTCAATAGAAGCCCGATTCCATAATGGTGAAGATTTCTAAGAAAGTCCTTTAGGAATTCGTCAAAGATTTTATCACTCCCTAAACAGGAGGACTCTCACGAGAGTCAGAACAAGGTGACGCACAATCGTCATAAGCGAGGAGCTGTTATATAATGATATTCTTCACATCTGTTAATCACACTATCAGGCAGATCAAACAAAGTGTTAAATATTTCTAACAAAATAAAAATAGGTAAATAATTATAAATTTTTTGTATTTAATTCCCTAATGAATATATTATATTAAAGCAGACATATTTTAAAACATTTATCTTGTTCCCATTTTTCACAAATTTCCCAAAGGAGGAAAAAAAGGATAACGTTGTACTATATGTAGACATAAATAATAGCTACTTACCCAACTCTAATGACTAATTGATTAGTATAGTATATTTTAGTAGTAGATAAGTATGTTAACCAGCCTCTTTTTAAATAACCTTTAAAATGTGTTAAATAAATCATTAATTTTTACCTTAAACTTAGCATAACAATTTACTTTGTGTGAAAACATTTTTGAAAAATTTCTTAACAATTTTAAAATATTCTAGTTAAAACTTGAAGCAAAAGAACAACATTTACCAGTCTCTAGAGATCAATTCGCTTGTCGTAAAACGAAATGTTTAAATGAGCATATGAATGTAATAATATTTTTAATACCTTTAATAAACACAGAATTTC